GATGGTCTTCATATATTCGATTAAACTATGAAAGTAAGATTGCCAAACAATGCACCGATTACGGCCGGACAAAGAAGACAATTGTAAGTCAATCCTGCCATTTGGCCTTTTTGAATCGTTGCAAACATTATGGTATTGTTCTCCGATTTTGCAATTTAATTAGGAAATGCTATTGGGGCACAGTTAATGAAATACTTTATCACGCCTCTATTCAGAAATTTGAGGAAAATTTCGAGACTGAGAGGCGTAAGCTATTTAAGTTCATAGGTCTCAAGTCTAGACTCAGGAAGGATATAGGCTTTCACTTTTGATGGATGTCAAAAACCCTAGAGCCTGACTGATCAGAAGTCACAGGGGGTCTGGGATCTGATAAATAAGCGACATGACAAGAAATTGTTTAGCTATGGGATAATAAGACAATGCAAGACCAAGCCAACCCATGCAAATTTCAATGGTTCCGTATTGAAGACATCAATTGCTACGGATAACGATAGGACTAAGATAGTAAACCCATCCCTCTTTATTCTGAAACTATGGGTCTCATTTTCTCCTAAGTAATAAAGGAAACGTTCTTAGTTATATTTTGGTGGTCTTTGTCAACATAACCGATAAATATCAGAAGAGATAAGGCGGGAAATGGAACTATAAATAATCATACGGGTCCTGACACATCAAGAACCGATGGACAGGAGCAGATTGGCGGGTATACGGAAAAAATGAATGATAAAATAGTTCTTTAGGCGGATAATGGAGGAACAACGGTTGTAATAAACAGGAAACAATAAACGGAGAAAATGGAAAATATTCTAGGCAATGGGAAGACCTATCAAGTACTAAGGAAGGACCCAACCATGAAGATCAATGGGACATTGAAGAATATGCTAAAGGAAATGCATAAAAATGGGAAACGTATAGATGGATGATGAAATCTTTAATCAAAAATGACGCAAGACCACCGACGGCCTACGGACTACCGAAGATACACAATGAAGGAAATTCGCTAAGATTAAGAGTCAACAACAAGCATGGAGCAACGCACAAACTGGCGAAATTCATTTGCTTGAAGCTCAAGAAATTAAATGACAGACTCGAATATTGTTAAGAATTCATATGAATTTTCTCAATGGTTCCAAAACATTGAGCTAAGTGGGACCTAACTGTTGGTGAGTTTCGACGTATAATCCATGTACACAAAACTCTCAGGTGGAGAGGCGGTAAGCGCTTTGCTGGAGATATTTTTGAGCGAGAAAAGGATACCCTGGAGGCAGAACGAATACGGAAGGACCGTCAACTTGATAGTAAGGACCATATATTTTACGCACCGAGTCCGAAGTCGTCTGCCATAGTAGTTGTCTTGATTCCCAGCATCCGACCGTGGACTTGATA